CAGAAGTTTTTCCATCAATTAACTTGAACACATGTTTAAATGGGTTTGGTAAATGAGCCACTGAATTAGTCTATCAAGTACAGTTGCATTACATAAGTCTTTCTCGTTCTACTTTTTTCCTATCAAGTTTATTTGATTCATTTAGTATTACATTTAGTATTATTTAGTCTTTTAGAGCAGCATTAACTATAGCAGCAGTTGCTCTGCAACTGACACAATAAAAATCTGCTAGTTCATTGTAAAAAATCCTATTTTGATTAATTTGTTTAAGACATCAGATTCATAAAGTTTGTCATTTTTTTTTTAAGTTTGTCACTAGATTCATCTAATTTGATACTTTCCTCAAATTCATACAAATGTGATCCATCTCTTTCATAACATATTTATGTGTAATTAACTGCTGTTGCCTTGTAACAATTTTTTTTTCATGTTTCAGTTTTTTTTAAAGTAGATGTCTAAGTGTATGATCAAAAGGTCCAGCTTACAGGTTACAGCTTGATTTTTGCATTGCTTTTGTCCAAAAAACATACTGGCACTTTAAAACTGAATTTCTCTCTTACTATTCTTGTATCATAACAATTGCACAACAAATCAAACATGTTGTCAAAAGAATTCTGGCATAAAAATTATTATTTCTGGAAATTTTATTTAAATTTGATGCTTTTTTATTTATTAATCTTTTAAGAAAATTCCTTCGGTTTTGATTGTTAAATAACAAAACTTATGCATATAATTTCAATTTCTGTCTGTAACATTAATGAGCATAATGGACCCTTTACCTTTAGCATTTTTATTTCTGAATCTTTCCCAAATATTAATTTGTCAGTATTAATGTGTGTATGAAATGCTGCCATGATATAAAGAGTTGCTTTTTATTATTCATATGCTACTTTTAATTACTAAGAAATAAAGTATATACATTTATATTATAAAATATATAACAAATATAGACTCTAAAATGCATTAAATAAAATAATATTAAAATTTACTGCAACTTTTACAGATTGTACTAACATAAATTTTATTATAGCAAGGTAATATTTTTCAGATTAATATGATAAAATCCTATATTAAAGTTATAAAAAAAAAGATTTTAAACTATATTATAAACTTAGAAATAAGTATTACATGAATTAAATAAAAATATTAACAGATATAGAAATTTTTATTTTTTGGGAAATTTGTGGTGTATGGTACAACCCCTAGGGGTGTGTGTAAATTTTTTTTGTATAGTTTATATATATTATATATAAACTATACATTATATATAATATATATAAACTATACAAAAATATATATATATATAAGTATATATATATAAGTATATATATATATATATATATATATATATATATATATATATATATATATATATATATATATATATATATATATATATATATATATATATATATATATATATATATATATATATATATAACCAATAGCATTTTTTTTTGGCTGATGTCGATGGATGGGAAAAGACTGATACCGATGAATTAACTAATTATTAAAATTTTGAAAATATAAAACCATACAACTTTATATTGGGTAAATTTTTTTATGGAATCAGTACTAGTAAACAAATACTTGGACCTAAATCAGAGGCAAACAATTATTTAAAAAGATATTAGAGAAACTCAGTTAATAAAAACATCCATTTTAATTTTTTTTTATTTTATACTATGATAATAAAACTTTTAACAAAATAAATACAGTTTTAGAGAAACGCTTTTTATTTCAATTTTAAAAAGAAAATGGTACTATCATAAGCAGTTTACTTAGAATTTTTTATTAATTTATTTTATTATTAGTAATTTATTTTTTTATTATTAGTAATTTAGATATATAATTAACAATCATATGCAGCTTAAACATATGAATTATTTTTAGATAATTAAATTGCTTTTAGAATAGTTTTATTTGTGATGTTTGATCCCCACCAAGTTTCTGATAGTGCAGCGCTCAACTTGTTTCTCCCTGCAGCAGCATTGTTCGTCAAGGTTTGTGTTTCAGAATTATAGAGTTGAGAGAGGGTTGTAACCATAAATGAAGTAGCCTCCTCAATTGCAGTGGTCTTTATGGCCTTAGGGAGGTGAATTGAAATAAAAAATATAGAAATAAAAAAATATACTTGATACCTTGCTATACTTGAATACATGAACTAAGGCTGAACTATTTGTAAAAAAATTCTCTTCCAATTTGACTCTCGAATCTTATGGCCATTCTCTTCCTTCTATTCTAATTAAACAGGTTAACCCATTGTTAGACATTTAAATCACTTCAGCTTTCATTGCTCATAGTCATATCTCGATTAAACTATTCTACGACTTGTGGTCCAGACAACATTCCTGTCACAGTCTTACAAAATTGTTCTCCAGAACTCTTTTCACTTTTCTTTAAACTATTTAATAAGTATAAATAACTGATCTTGTTTTCCTGCCTGTTGGAAAATGGCATCTGTTGTTCTAATTTTCAAAAACTCTGGTGAACATTCTGACTCCTCCAATTATCTTCCTAACAACCTTACATCTAAAGTTCTTTTTGCTGATGACTCAATTTAATACTCATGTCTTGACAAAAAGTCTTCTCTTTTCTTGAATTTGATCCCACTTTTGTAACTGATTGGGGCTTACAGTGGCTTGTAAATTTTAGCTCCGACAAGTTAGTTATTTTCTGCAAACAACTATAGCATGTACTGTCGACATTCCTATATTGATAAATGGCAACCCTCTCACTGAGTCCTCTTCTTTCATCATTACCTTTCATGGAAATCATATATAATCGATTGCTAAATTAGCATCTGCTAAGGTTAATTCTCGTGCACACCATTTTCTCTCTCCTGATTCTATTCTCTACCTCTACAAATCTCTTATTCGTCTCTGTATGGAATACTGTTGTCATATTTGGTCTGGTTATCCTAATGATACTTTTTCTCTTCTAGACAAGGTCCAAAAATGCATTATAAACGTAGTTGGACCTGATCTATTTGCTAAGCTTGAGCCTCCTTCCCATCTTTGTAAAGTTGCATTTTTTTCTCTTTTCTACAAATACAATCATGGCTGCTGCTCAAAGGAGCTTTCATCTCCAGTTCCATCAACCAAAACTTATTCTCGCTTGACTCGTCATTCATCAAAGTCTCATTTTTTGACTGTATCTGTCCTTGCATGCTCCAAAAACTTTTATTTGTCTAGCTTTTTTCCCTCCACTTCCACCCTTTGGAACTCTGTTCAATCTTTATGTTTTCCTGACTCATACAACCTTTAACTTTTTAAGTCTTCCGTTAACGGTTTCCTTGCTCTTAACTCTATTCTTTTTTTCTAGCATTTCCCAACTTGATAGTGGTTGCTTGCAGCCTTGTTGGGTATAAATAAGAATTAAAAAAATTAAAATGCTAAAATATGTTACTTTTAAAGCTTTTGCCTTTAAACAATGTCAAAATAAAAATTTATCAAAAATTTCATAAAATAATGCATAAAGTTTAGTTTATTTATTATTTAATTATTATAATAATGCAGGATAAAAATATTAAAATGCCATCAGTTGGAAAATTGCTAAATAAATAAAAAAAAGGCAAAAAGTTGCAAATTAAGCTGATGCCGATTAATCATTACATCACTAGTATATATATATATATATATATATATATATATATATATATATATATATATATATATATATATATATATATATATATATATATATATATATATATATATATATATATATATATGTATATATATATATATATATATATATATATATATATATATATATGTATATATATATATATATATATATATATATATATATATATATATATATATATATATATATCAGGCCTTGTTTTATAGCGTTAAATGGCGCGCCATTTACTTATGAACAAAGTCATTTAACGTAAGTGGTAAGCAATTTCATGTGAGCCATTTTTTATCATTTTTTAATATTTAAACAAGTCTAAAAAAATCATTTAAGTGGTATAAAAGAAGTAGTAAATATTATAAAAACCACTTATGAAGTTTGCATGACAATTGAATTTGATATCCACGCTATTTACAATTGTAGTTAATTAAGAAAAACAAAAAAAAATTATTTTTATTTACCTAACTTTTCTATCAAAAATGTTCAGTAAAAAAAAAAAGATGTTATAGGCATGTATAAAATCACATAATGTGAAAATAATAAATTTATAAAATAGCTACGATATATTTATTAGTTTTTATTATTTTTGTAGATATATAATTATCATAAGTTTTTATTAGTTTGTAATCAAAAAAAAAAAAATGTAAGCTATGTTATTTAATAGCATTATTTTAACTTGGTCAAAAATGTATCGGCTTATTTGTAGGAATTTCGTTTTGTTTTGATTTTTTTTTAATGCTTTACCAAAAACAAGAAAAAATTACAAGAAGTAATCTTAATTACTCAGATTAATAGTAAATTACATATACTCGTTTCTTCTTTTAATAATAATTAATTTTACTATATAGTTTTTATTATTTTTGTAGATATAATTTTCATAATACTTTATTAGTTTGTATAGATAAAAAAATGTAAGCTTTGTTATTTAATAGCATTATTTTAACTTGGTCAAAAATGTATTGGTATGAATCTTGTCTTGTTTTGATAATTCTCAAGATGTTTTGCCAAAAACAAGATTAATAGTAAATTACTTATACTCATTTCTTCTTACAATAATTTATTGTATCCTTTTTTATCACAATCTTATAAAAGATGCCCAACTGAATTAAATTAACTTTTTATATTGCATTTAAATTAAGTTATATTATTGCAATAACAATGAAATTTAAGTTTGCAATTATAAATTCATGTGATACATTTTAAATTGTAATATTGCATTAATGCAGTATTATAATTTACAATCTATCTATGCAATTACATGATTCCATAGGTAGATTGTAATCTTGCATTAGTGATGCAACATAAAGTTGCATTGTATTTAAAGGTTAATTTTTTTTCAATTTTTCTTTTTTTTTTAGTTGATTCTAAAAGAAGAATTGGGAATTCAAAATCCTGATTTAATAAAGATATGTATAAGTTTATTATCACGACTCCAAGTTGCTTGTAAGATAGATGATCATAGAGTTCTTATTCCACTGAAACTTCCAAATTACGATCCAAAACATGCATTGTCAATCAATTTGAATAGACTACTCACTCGTTACTATTTGTTTAGCTGTATACCTAATGGTTTTTGGGCTCAATTTATTACTCGTTTTTTATCAATGACTAAAGAAATGTTATCACCAAAACCAAATTTTGAAACAAAGCCCAAAGTTTCTCTAATTGGGAGCAATATACCAAAAGATAAGCTAGATGCTGTAATGCCTTGTTGTGAAGATGAGAAACCTCCTAAAATAAATGAAACAAACTCCTCAAACATTCAATATGTTATAACCTCTCCCAAAACAAACTCTACTTTGAATCAAATTCATTTATCTCAAAGTCGATCTAGAAATATAAAGCCATCAATAAAAGACTCCTTTGTCTTTAATGATGTTGATAATTTAGTACATTGTCTTCCGATAAAGTGTTTTCTAAATAATACTGAAACATCAAATGATTCTAAAAATAGTAATTCAAATAGTTCGTCAAGCAGTACTGTTTCAGGTGAGAGTTTTTTTAACTCTGATGAAAATTATATTTGTAGGAAAGAGAAAAAAAATGATGAAGATGATGAAATTGAATCTCAGCTTATCAATGAACTGTCCAACAATGATGAAGAATATCAAGAACATTTTAACGATTATGGAGAGCTAAATTATTTGTTGGACAATGGGTATTTAAGTTTCTGGAATCAAGGAATCATATTTAATCATCCACAATTGAGTTTTTCTGTACAACAGCTACCTATTTCATATAAAGCAGATAGTAAAACAATTGAAATATCTGTAACTAAATCCTCATTAGGTTATCGAGTTCTCAGCTATGTGGTTGATCATATTAGAACACTTTTAAAAGAATGCTTTGGAGGTTTGTTGATGTCAGATTCTCAAGTTATTTCTTCTCTGGCATGCCCCATATGTACAACTTTGGGCTTAAATCCACCTTATTTGTTTAACATAAGTAATGCCTTTAAAAAATTTTTAGAAAGCTCAGATGACAACACATGCAATATGATATGTAAAGGAAAGCACAAACCAAGAGTAGTTAATATAGCAGAATGTTTTCCTGATCTAACTTTTCAAGATTTACCGAAAACAATGAAATGTAATTACAATGATATTTATAGTGAAAAAAATGAAGAATGCAAGCTGGGAGAAGGAGAAATTGGAAAAGTATATAGTGGTTTATTTAAGAACAAAATTAGAGCTGCAATAAAGTTTTATAAATTTAATATGGACAGTTTATTGAATCAGTTTTACGAAGTTCGACAAGAAATTTTAATGCTCAGTAAATTACGTCATCATCTTTATATAATTCAATTTTTAGGTTTCTCAATCAAACCAAAATTATGTGCTGTGATAGAGTATGCTAGACACGGTACTTTATCATCTGTCATTCATAAGAGATCTAAATTTATCCCTAGAATTGTTAAGTTTCGAATTTGCCAGCAAATTGCAAGTGCTTTAGCTTTTATGCATAAAAAATGTATAATTCATTGCAATATAAAGTCAGATAATGTTTTATTATTTTCGCTTAAACATAATGCAAAAATCAATATCAAGTTAACTTATTTCTGTACAGCAAACATTATGAGTCCAAGTGGTTTAAAAACTTTTTTCGGTACTAAAGGTTACACTGCTCCAGAAATGATTATGTATCAATCATATTTAGATGAATATACTTCTAGTGTTGACATATACTCATTTGGTATGGTTTTTTATGAGTTAATTGCACATCAAAGGCCATTTTATGATTTTACAGACGCATATGAAATAAATAACAATGTCTTAATGGGATTTCGACCAAAATTTTTTGACATTTCTGATGCATTTTATGGATTGGTTCATTTAACAAAGTTGATGATATTCATGTGGCATCAAGAGCCTTCCAAAAGACCTCCTGCTAAAGATATTTTGAATTTGTTACTATCTCCAACATTTCAATTAGTTTTTGGACTGAAAATGTTGTCTTCTACTCATAACCCTTGTGATTTGTGTTATATAATCAGTTGTAACACACTTTGGATCACATGTAATAACAAGGAAGGTGAATAATTATGTTTAATAAATAAGGAAGTTTATAATTATGAGTGTGTGTATATATATATATATATATATATATATATATATATATATATATATATATATATATATATATATATATATATATAATTTTTAGAAGTAAAAAAATATTTTTAATTAAAAAAAAAAGTTTTATGCAGTTGTTATGCAAAGTTGTTATGATGTACAATTAGTTATCTACATTGTGATAACATCACAATGTAGATAACTAATCAAATTTTATAAACTCTTTGCAGGGTTTATAAAATTTGATTAGTTATCTACATTGTGATGTTATGGCTAAGGAAAGAGTTATTAGTGTTGATAGCTATGTTACTGGACTCACCTTCTATTCTATCAACAGCTGTAAAGTATCAGAGATTTGATCTCTCCAAAACTATTATATATTCTTCTTGTCTCCTGAATCCCCCTATCATCATACTTCTTACAACTATCTTAAAGCTGACTGAGACTCTTTCCATGATTTTCTTTGTGATGGCCCTTAGATAGAAATCTTTGGGTAGCTTCTTGTGCCATCTACTAAAATTCTTTCTTGTTTACTTGTTATTCAATTAAGACCCATTTTTTTACTGAGACTGTTCCTAAGGGCTGGAACATCAGCTACTATACTTTTCTCCTGATTTTTTTTGCTAGCTATGTAAATGATAGAAATTTACTATAACTTGTGTAATGATCTATGTAAAAATGTGATTGGTTAGTTTACTTCTCTTAGACTCAAGCATAATCATGCGCAATGGTTCATAGAAAGGTCAATATAGAGTATCACAAAAGTGTTGATTTACAATGGAATTAAGAATCCATCTTTTAAATTAAGTCTTTTAGTTTTCAAGAGTTAAGTATCCATCTTTGCTTATTGCTCACTCGATACAGAAGAAAGAAGTTTATGAAAATGCTAAAGAACTTCTTGATAAAATTAATTATTCTGATTTCAATAGGATGTTTGTGATGATTTCAAGGCTTTCTTGTTTGTGCCTCAGATAGCTTTATAAACTTTAGATGAATTTTTTTGTAAAGCTTCTTTAAAAACCTTTAAAAATTAAGGATTTTACAAACTGTTTTTCTAATCCTAGTTTGATATGAAGTGGGGATGGTAATTTGACTTTGTTAGAATCTGCTAAAGGCTGATCTAGAATATTGAACAATTCTGGCTGCAGGTCCATTTTTGGGTGCTAATGAACTTTCTTATCAGCCCTGCTGACCCGTTAACAAAGTAAACATAAATACTTTGTGTATCCCTTTAGTAAGCAAGATTAATGATGATATATTAGTTGGATCCCCAATGTAAAAGTCAGAGAAGTTCAAATGAGCAGTGACAAAAGTTAAAAAAGAAGCTTGGTGTGCATTTTGTGATGTAGTTTGCGGGTTCTTAGAAAATTGCAACTGGTTGTAAAGCTTTTTAAAAACTTCAAGAAATTGGCTCGTCGTATGTTCATAAATGGTCATATGCTTTATTTACACCTAGAAAAACCCCCGTCATCATCAATTTTTCCCCAAAAACATGGGTGATGTCAGTGAGGGGTATGACAAGAGATTTCATTAGGACATTGCAAAAATGAAAAGTAGTTGTTAATGGTAATGGGATGCAGTTATGATGGGTGATTATACATGGTTTCTATTTTGAAAAGATTAAAGTATGCGTTCAAGAAGTATGATGCAATCATCATCATACTTCCTAAAAACCTTTTAATATATGAAAAAGTGCTATAGTCTTATATCAGAATTGATCGATACAACATACTTACCTGAAAAAAAACTTTTGATGTTACATCAAAACGAATTTAATATTTAAATTTAGTGACAAAATATGCATGAATAAACATTGAAAAATCTAAGTAACCTTTGTTACTTTGTGGTAGTACTGAATTTTTACTTTTGAAATATTTTTTTTTGATCAAAAAAAATCTTTTTTTTTTTTTTTTTTGATTTCCTACTACAAAAGTATTCTTCTGGAAGTTGCAATATTACCTTCCTTAGAGAATATTCGCTCTAACGAACTTAATGGTTGTTGTTAAATTGGATTGAGTGCAGTCAGTTGGACTTTTGTCTGCATAATTTTGGAAACTTGTAAAGTTAGTATAATTTTTTTTTATCTATTAACTTTAACTTACTCTTAAATAGTAAAGATTGCTTTCAAAATAACATCAGTTTTTAAATTCCTGTAAAGTATAATAACCAAAGCTGTATTGAGATGCCAAATCAATTCTATGCACATAAAATATAATAACCAAAGCTTTATTGAGATGTTTCATCAGTTTTATGCAAATGAAATATAATAACCGAAGCTTTATTGAGATGTCACATCAGTTCTATGCACATTATAAAAAACTATTATTCTTATAGTTTTTTATAATGTGATTTTTTTGTTAAATTTGATTTTCTTTACCTGTGGGTTCTTGTGGCCAATAACTTACGAGTCAAAGGTACATTTTTAACTTCCTTAAGATTCTATAGCTTTCAAAAGCCGCCAATAAAATAGAAGTATAAACAGCACATGATATGTTTGTGCTTCTACTTCTCATTCTTAAATTCTCATTCCTAAAATAAATTTTTAAAAAATATATTTAACCTAAGAATATTATATTAATAGTAAATGTTTTTTCTTTAATTTAAACTATACTAAACTTTGGTATCACCCTTACTTTTTCTTCTCTTGATAACTTATATAACTTTTATTAACTTTTTTTATTTTTATAAAAACCAAAAAAAAAAAAAAAAATTTATAATATTTTTTTGTTTTTTTTGTTTTATAACTTTTATTACTTTTCTTTTAAGCGTACCTTACAAAGTATACCTTACAATGTATATCTTACAACGTACACCTTCAACATATACCTTACAATGTATACCTTACAACGTATAACTTACAACGTATGGCTTACAACGTATACCTTCTAACGTTTTCCTTTTCTTTTCTTAATATGGTTTTATAACTTTTATTTCTTTCTTTTATGTACTATACTTTACACTGTATATATAACTATTATGAATTTATTCCCATTATATTTTTCAGAACCATTTATTATTGTGATCAATATGGAAAGTTTTAAAGTGGTCCAAAAAGTTAAAATCGAGGTTGCACCGTTTAGTTTAAAGAACTTCTATATATCATCCATTACTCCTATCGGTGATAAGCATGTATGTGTTGTGTTACGAACTTTCAATGATGTCATTTTAGTTTATAAAGCTAAGAACTACAGTGTTTTTCAAAGATACAAAATAGACGGTTATATTTGTTCAATCTCTGCGAACATGGATTGGGTTTGTTTTGGTTTTGACGATGGCCGTTGCTCTAAGGTTACTTTAAAAAGTTTTTTAAACGGAAATATGTTAAATGAAGTTCATGACTTTAAATTAAAAGAAATGTTCTCGGTAACTAGCTCGGTTTTATTGTCCGAAACATTTATTTGGTCGGCCGGTTGTTCATTCATACTTTGCAATTTGGAGAAAAATAAAGAAGAAAGAAAGTTTATTTATGATATTGATAGAAATGTTAAAGAAATTGTTTTCTCGTTTGATGAAAAATTATTTTTTATTTCTTATCAAGATAGTACTGAAATTCATATCTATAGTACAGAAACTATAGAAGTCTTGTATAAATTTAACTGTCACAACGATATTTTAAAGTGTTCGCCAGAAGTTCTTAATGTTGATCTCATAGTGACGTGCATGTGTTCAGTCGACAATATGTTGTGGGTTGGTACCGGAAGCGGGCATATACTTATTTATGAGGTGCGTGACATTGGTGGGATTTATAAAACTAAACTACTGCAAACACTTCACCCATACGCGATTGAAATGCAAAAACTTTTGCTTGTTATCTTGACTCAAACACGTCAAGATGGCGTAAAATATGTTATCGTAAGTATTGGAAAAGAATTAAACAAAAACGCATTCGGATTTGGTTCTGTTTTTGAATTTGATGGTTATGTTCCGAAAGATCAAACGGCAATAGATGAAAAACTTTGCGAACACTTAGATAACGATAGTAACGACGGTAAGGTGATTATTGTTTGGCATGTTTTGCAGTCGCACCAATATAAAAATTTAATCTTGTAATATAATAAAATAAATTCCGATTTATTTAGCTTAGTACTTTTTTAATTTTACTTTTAAAAAGATAATCAACTAAAAAATATGTATGCATGTATATTATTTATTTTTTATTACCTGACGCTTAATTTCTTTTTTTTTTTTGATAATTTTAAGTTGTAGAAAACTACACTTTAAAAAAAATGGTAGAACTTTCTACCTTAGGGTAGGATATGTGATATACCCTTAGTAAGGTATAGTTTTTTACCATTTAAGGTAGGAAATTATACCTTTAAAATAGAAAATTGACAAATCATTATTTTTCATCTAATTTTCTACTCGGAAGATACAAAATTATTCCTTATTAAGTAAATCACATATCCTAACCGAAGGTATAAATTTCTATCTTATTTTTTTAGTGTGGAAAAAAAAAATTGACGCAAATTAAAAAGATTGACAAAATATATTTATAAAAAATTTGTTACAATGAAATATTGACGCATTATTAAAACAAATATAATTTTTTTTAAATATATACTATGATTTTTTTTATTTTAGTATTTTTTTTTTTTTCTACAAAAAATACTTTTGTCTACACAAAACTAATTTTCTTTTCAACATGTTTTAAAGCTTCTAATAAAACGGCTGATGAAAAAAGAGTTTTAATACTCTCTCTCTCTCTCTCTCTCTCTCTCTCTCTCTCTCTCTCTCTCTCTCTTTCTCTATCTCTCTTTCTCTCTCTCTGTCTCTCTCTCTCTCTCTCTCTCTCTCTATATATATATATATATATATATATATATATATATATATATATATATATATATATATCTGTGTGTGTTTTTTTAACTTCTTTAATTTTTTGAAAGAAAAACAGGTTTTTTTATTCGAACGTCTTTTGTTGTTGGGAAATTTATCATCGTATCATTATCAAACTAAACCAATTGAGGTCTTTAAAAAAATAATTTTTTAACAATCAGGTCCAAACTTTTTTTTTACTTATGACCTTAAATATAACAAAAAAAATATGTTTGACCCATGGCTTCTCTTTATTTATTATAAAAATTAGGTTTTGAGTGTAGCACTAAATTGTTTAATTTTTATTCTGCCAAAAACACTATGACCTAAGTGCAAGCACTAAACAAAAAAGAAAAAACAAAAATATGTAAACACTCGTTTTTATTCACAAGTAAATTACAATATTTACTTTGGATATCCTATTTTACACGAAAGTCAGTCTTTGTATGGTAAAGTTCAAAACAATCAGTAGGGTGTAGTCCTGGTTTTCTTGTACAGGTTTTACAATAGTATACAGTTTTTCACCCTGTGAAAAACTGTATACTATTGTAAAGTCTTTGGCATTATTATTTGGAACTTGTGCTTTTGGTTGAGGCGTTTATTGTCATCTAATGATGATCGCCTTCCTCTTTTTCTTATCTGTTACGGCATTCTCTTACTAATTGCTCAATGAGGTTTTGTCTGTAGGCTTGGTGTCGAAGTTTGTTACCATTGCCTTCACAAAATTTATTGAACAATGTATAACTGTTTGCAACTTCAACTTCCAACAACCTGAAAAATATTTTCTTCATCATTTAAATGACTTGCGTAGAAATGAATAGCTGGAACAATAGTGATCAGTTCGGTCGATAGCTTCCATATGTTTCGAATAATTTACAATAAAAGTTGGTTTATCAATATCTGCAATACCTTGTTTTGTTCTTTATTTTGCAACTTCAGTTGTTGAATTTTTAAAAAATGAAGAGTGTACATATGCAGAAACTTCGTGCTTCTTTAGTTTGATTTTTTTTATATCTTCAGGTAACTGTTTCCTACTTTTTTTTATTGTCCTCGTAACTCATTTTAAGGAACTCTTGTGCAAGAGGAAAACTAGTATATAATCTGTCAGTGAATAAGTGATGACCATTACCTTAGGCAGCCTCTATAAGCTAATCACACAAATGCAACACGATTTGTGGATTGTACATGCAAAATGCAACTCTACCTTTGAATCCAATAGTACTTTCATCAATTGCAATGTTACGAGATGGGACAAAATTTCTAAAAGAGGAACCTTTCATTTTTGATACAACACGATGCACCTTCCTTGCACGTCTATTCAATTCATTTGGTAGATTTGATGGTGGGGATACGTGCAGCATCCAATATATCTTAAGAAACCGAGTTCGAGAGAAAACTGCTGAAAAAATGGCATGTATGTCAGCCAATCACAAGAAAAATAATTTTTTATACTTGATTTTTCATTCAGAGCCATATTCAAAATAGTACCAAAGTAACCTTGAATTTCTTTGTGTCACGTCTTTCCATTTGTGCCAAATAGAATGAGATTCTAAGTCGTTATTTTCAATTTTTGACTAGCATAACGATTAGTTTCGGTTACAATATCTGCAAGTAACTCATCAGTAAAAAATAACTTGAAAAAATCTAGTTCACGTGTTTAGTTTTTTGAATGCTGAGGGCCTACATTTGCTACTGTGAATGGCAATGCTTCAAATACTGGAGTATCTTGCACTACTTTTGTCCATTCTATGTTCAAAGCAAGTCCATTATCATCAATTTAATTTAGTTCAATATCTTCCTCTGACTCTGATATCTCTGAGAATTTAGTCTCAGATTCACAAAAGTGTATTCACTGTCGCTTTTAGTACTTGTTTCATCCAATGCCTTTAATGTTTCTTCAGTTGTATAACGTTTCCTTGCCATTTTTAAATAAATTTTAATAAAAATAGACGATTAAAAAATTTTACTGAAAAGCACTTTAATATTTTGAAAACACACTATAATATTACCAATTGAACCTAGTAAATTGTCCAAGTTAGCTTAAATAGACAAATTTTTCTGAATAAACATCAACATAGTAAATGCCCCGTGGCACGGGACATTAGGCCGCAACTACAATTTTATGATGTCCCGTCACGCGGAACATAGGACCACAAAGGGTTCATTATCACTTAAACATTATTATAAAATCATTATCACTTAAACATTATCATACTTACAAAAAATAATATAAAATTATATATATATATATATATATATATATATATATATATATATATATATATATATATATATATATATATATATATATATATATATATATATATATATATATATATATAATTCACATCTTGCAAGCTTGTTAAGTCGCGAATAACTTCGAGAAAAATTGAGTATGTTATTTCTTGTTCAAATTTAGTCGCTGAAAAATATCGTTTTCAATCCAATTATTTTTCAACTTGTTCGTTAACAATTTCTTTATCCATGATTGAAACTTGATATTGAGAAGCATTTAATAAAGCTGTTAAAAAATCTACATTATGAACATTTTTTATCTTGAAAGCACTGCATGAAGGTGCTGTTATTGTCAGCCATAATAAATACGATGTGTTGTTATTCAACGCATATTTGCTGATCAAATTTTTTTTTTTTTCTTCAAACGAATAAATACGTCAAAAAAGTTGAAGCCAGTCCAACTATTTTGCGAATCAAAAAAATTCGATAAGCGATAAAAAAAAAAAAAAAATGCTAATTCGCATGCTCAGAAATAATGCGGTGAAAAAATTCGCTTCGCACGAAATAATTCGCTCCGAAAAAAGCAATAAAAAAGCTGGAGTTCGACTTTATAACAAATATTTTATAGAATTGATATTTAAATTAAAAAAAAAGAGAAATATTTTTTATTTTATTGCTTTCTAGTAACTTCAAAATAATTGCTCAGTAAACATTCAGATGGCAATGAAACTGTCATTTGTAATTTTTTATGCTATTATTTTAATGTAATAAAAACTGTAACAAAATTATAAATTATCGACAAAGTTCATAATAAACAAGGTACCAGTTACTTTTACCTTGCATAAGTTTAAGACATCATTCCTTTAAACAATAAAGTTATCCGTAATCGATAAAAAAATTTATTTAATTGATAATATATATTTATAGTCACTGGAAAATGAATAGGATATGTCTTGCGAATATTTCTATTATGGAAAAGAATTTGCTACAAAATGATGATTTACATATGAAGGTTTTAAGTTTTGTTTCTGAAAGTAATTTTGAAGAATCTAACTACAGCTTTTCAATTATTTCGAACTTCATTTACCAAGCTAAAAAACAAAGGAAAAAACAAATAGGACATAAGCAGTATTTAAAAAAAGAAATAAAATTTGGTTACACGAAATTATATTTGACTTGAAAAAAATGGAAATGAAAACATACATAAACTATGAATAAATGTTATTATAATGTATGCAATTCATTTTTGTTGTTACTTAAACAATTAAATAGTTGTTATAGTTGTTAATAGGTTTTTTAGTTTTGTTTGAAAAACTTTTGTGCCAACAAAAAGATTAAGTACAATTCGAAAGAACTTTTACATGCAACGAGTAATAGTTAAACTCCTCTTAAACTATATCAACAATGACAAAGCTTAATTGAAAAGATCCAAAACTTAAGTTTGAATTTAATTTCATTTAAATATAGAAGAGCATCAAAGAAAGTAGTTTTTGCAAATTACCCCGTGGGAAATCGGCTAGCGAATAGCTAGCTATAATCGTTACGATAAAGACAGCGATTTGGCCACGAGGATCGCTAGCTTTTTTAAGTTAGCGAAAAGCTATTTGTAAAGATAAAGACAGCGATTTGGCTACGAGGACAACTAGTTTAATAAGCTAAAGACTCACAGGCTATTGTAGCTACCGCCATATCGTAATAAAATCGTTATAAAAAAAATTTTGGTATGTAGCTATCAATCAGCTATAGATTTGTAGATTTTTTGTAGCTAGCTACAAAGCTACAATATGTAGCTAGCGACACATTGCTACAAAATCGCTCAAATTCAAAAAATTTGAATTAATTTAATAATTAATTTAAATATAGAAAAGCATCAAAAAAAGTAGTTTTTGCAAATTATCAATCTGAGTAAATTAGAATCTCAAAATTTTGTCCATGGAAAGAATAAAGTTTTTTAGTTATATTTAAAAAAAAACATGAAAGATTAATTATGCTCTATCTCTTTCTTTCTCTATGTATATATATATA